CTTCCCACCACCTAATAAGAGTTATCATAAATTTTTTTAGTTTAATAGTCAGTTTTAACATTATTATGACTATGTGCATGCTCTTTACAGTTGAGTCATGTAGTAAACTATACTTACTTTTTCTTTTCAGTACTATTTTCTGTGTTTCCTTAAAGTTAATAATATTCTTTTTTTCTCCATTTACTTGGTTTTCTATGACTTCTGACAACTCGTTTTCAATTATCTAGATCACAAGATGTCTAGACTTACCAGGTATTCTACCAATTCCTCTTTCTGAAAAAGTCTCTTCTAGAGCCGTGTGACATCCTCCCAACTAACGTGGCTGTCTTGTGGTCCTGGTGCAGAGCTATCACCCCGGGATCTCCCTTCACCATTAGCTGGAGGTTACTTTTGCCTCTCTCATGTGCTGGATCTCCTGCTTTCTACACTTCAAATCTTAGTCTTCTTTCTTGGTTTATGCCTTCACTTTGGTGAAAAACAGTTCATCCTCTAGTCACTATCTAAGAAAGAATACATGAGATAAAATCTTTGAAGACCCCTCTTCCTTGATAGTTTGGTTGGATACAGAATGCTGGATTGATAATCATTTCCCTTCAGAATTTAAAGTCATTGTGCTGATGCCTTCCAGTTTTGCTGCTGAAAAGTCTACAGTCGTTAGATTCTGACTCCTTTGTATGTGACCTGTATTTTCCAAGAACAGCAAGAAGGCCAGAATTGTTAGAACAAAGTGAGCAAAGGGGAACAGTGGGGTGGAGGGTGACAGATCATGTAGGGCCATGTAAATTTTGGTTTTTTCACTCTGACTATCATGGGGAGCTGCTGTAGGATTTTGAGGAAAGGAGGACATTATTTGACTTATCGGAAATAGATCACTTCAGCTGCTGTAGTGAGACTACACTTGAAGAGAGTAGGGCATGGCAAGTGGGCAGAAGCAAGGAGACCCCTAAGGAGGCTAATTTTCAATAATCCAGGCAAGAGATGATGGTAGATTAAATCAGGATGTTGCACTGGAGGTGTGAGAAATGGCTGGATTCTGGATATATTTTTAAGGTTGAGCCAAAAGGACTTGTTTCCGCATTAGCTATGGGGTTGAAAGAACATAGGAGAAGATGACCCAAAAGTTGTTGCCTGAGCAACCAGAATAATGGAGCGAATAGAGAAGACAGAGAAGTATAAGCTTAGGGGCAAGAAAAGAAGTTCAGTTATGCACCATCAAGTGTAAGATGTCTATCCAAACAGAGATGCTGCATCAACAGCTGGATATACACAAGTCTGGAATTCAGGAGCAGTAGCATGTTGGCTGAACTAGCTTTGCGGCATGACTTTGGCTCTTCTTTTGGCACTTAACCTCCCTTTGATCCTATTCATTTTCTATGCCAGGTTCTCCAATGTGAGCCACATAATATCCTTTTAATATGTCCTTTTCTGCTTAAATCAGCTAAAACTTCTATCACTTATAATGAAGAACCTAAACTGATATAATTACTGAATCAGGAAAAGAAGTTAGTTTTCAATTGTTAATGAACAGAACTTGATTAAAATGGAAAGGAACTAATGGTAAAATCTTAACTGCTCCTAAATTGAATATATCCCTTGGCAAAGCCCATCTATTTCCACAGAATAGGCAAAACTAAACTGCAGCCTTGCATACAACTAATGAGTTAATCATAAATAATCATTAAAAACCTCAAGTTTCCCCAGGATTTTACTTGCTATTAACACTTTAAATCCTCAGGAATTGATAATACTCTAACCTACAAGAAAACCCAATTTTGACATGAGGTCAAAAATAACAAAAATTCCAAATTAGTACTTGAAATTAATGAGATGTTACTCTAGTACAAGGATGAATTAAATGTTCATTTTTAGAAAAATGAGAATAAATCTCTGCTCTGTCATCATACTATATAACACAATATTATTATATCTAAGAGTTTCCTGAGCATGCAGACATCTCAATTCTAGTAGTTATAACTAATATAGAAAAATTATACCCTCAGATAAATTGTTTTTAAAATATAGGCTGGGGAATTAGACTTCCACAGAGTGATAAGACAACAGGTACTAAGAAAAAAGGTCCTCTGAAGTACAAGAGTACAAGATAATAAATGCATAAGAGGTAGAAAAGCTTAGTATATGTAAAAGACTGCTGGTGATGTTTAAATGAAAAAACTGATAGTTTTCATTAACTAATCTTTTTCTGATTATAAAATATATTATCATAGAAAATACTATAAAAGAGAAGTCTCATCTCATATTCTACAATCCACAGATAACCACTGTTAACATTTTGGTATATTCTCTTCTAGTCTTTTTTCCTATTCACACATATATACGAAGGGTATGTGTGCGTGTGTGTGTACACTGAAGCAAAACCATACTAAATGCCATTTTTATATCTTGCTTTTTTCATTTCGTATAATATATGCATTTCTCTTGGGTTTTTAAATATTCTTCAAAGACATAATTATTTTAAATATCTGTATAAGATTCCATCATACAAATGTGCCATGATATAACCACTGCCCTACTGGTAGGCATTCAGGTTGTTTATAACCTTTCACTACTATAGATAATGCTACAGTAAACAGTATTATACATAAATCTTTGAATTTCTGAATTTAGAGACCCAATTTCCAAAGACACTTCTTCAGGAAAAATGTTTAAAGAGCACTTAAATATCAATAGAGTAGATATGGCCCCAAAATGCCAGTTGATTCTGAATTTAAATAAAAGAAGAAAATAATAAATAAATAAAAAATAAAAGAAGAAATATGCACAAAATAAAAATTATAAAGCACAACTCAATTCAAACAAATGTCTATCAAACCTAATCAACAAGTTTCCTTAATAAATCAGATGAGTTTCTCCTCCCTTCTGGAATCTTCAATACTGCTATCAGCATGTTATACACAAGCAGATCATCCAGCAATAATTTATATTGTGTGAAAATATCCAGCATAGACTAAAAAATGAGGACTTTCAAAGGATATATAAAATCTAAATTCTATGTTAATTCTAAATTCTATTCTATTCATTGCTATAAACAATGCCCCACCAAGCATGAATTAATATGCCCATTTAAAAAAACAAAAAAAGCTGAACATAGCTTTACTGACAATCTACTACAGTAAAGAGAACAGAAATGTACAGGAGGTCATAAAAAATAAGACTTAGTTTTAGCCATCTCTAAAAAAACATCAGAGCTAATAGAAAAAACCATGATATGGGGCCTGCCCAGTGGCTTAGCGGTTAAGTGCGCGCACTCCGCTACCGGCGGCCCGGGTTTGGATCCAGGCGCATGGCCGCACCGCTTGTCAGGCCATGCTGAGGCCGCGTCCCACATACAGCAACTAGAAGGATGTGAAACTATGACGTACAACTATCTACCCGGGCTTTGGGGAGAAAAAGGGGAAAAAGAGGAGGATTGGCAATAGATGTTAGCTCAGGGCCGGTCTTCCTCAGCAAAAAGAGGAGGATTGGCATGGATGTTAGCTCAGGGCTGATCTTCCTCACAAAAAAACAAAAAAAGCATGATACTACTATGTTAAAAATAAAAAATACCGGGGGCTGGCCCGGTGGCATAGCAGTTAAGTTCGAGTGCTCTGCTTCAGCATGGGGTTCACCGGTTCTGATCCCAGGTGTCGACCGACGTACCGCTTATCAAGCCATGCTGTGGCAGTGTCCCATACAAAGTAGAGGAAGATGAGCACGGATGTTAGCCCGGGGCCAATCTTCCTCAGCAAAAAAGAAGAGGACTGGCAACAGATGTTAGCTCAGGGCTAATCTTCCTCAAAAAAAAAATACTATACCAACAAATAAAAAGTAGTAGTTAAGTAGCCCTTATTAAAAACTGATCTCCTGGGAAAATTTACCAGAGTTAAATTACAAGTCTACTTTTTGTTCCTAATATCACAGTAATTTGAAAATATTTTTGCCTTATGTTTAACTGAATTTAGACATAAAAACTATTGGCTCTTTAACTTCATAAATAAACAAGAGAAAATATTTTTTAAAATATTCTCTCCTCAGATTCATCTATTTTTACATCAAGTTATCAGAGATGACATTATATTTCTATACCCACAAGAGTCTGATTTAATTTATAAGTTCTTAGTTTATTGCTTTCCTTCTAAGGCATTTGTAAGGATCCTAAGTCCTAGTATATGCTGACTCTAAAAGAAGTATCATTCACAAGAAACACACTTCTGATCCCTATATACAGACACTAAGTCAGCAGAAAACCTGCTTATTAACTACCAACAATTCAAATATTTGAGCAAATGTTTGTACCTGCCTTTATTGACTAGCCTTTAATAATATACCCCTGTAAAAGAGTATTCTAAAACAACAACAAAATGTTGTTATAATTTATAAAATAATAATATACTTTATTGTTAACAATGGTCAATGTTCTCCTTTTGTACATAAAAAGTATAAAGTATAATACATAAACAACCCTGTATTTAAGCTTTCAGAGTGGGAAAGTCTTATAAACCCTAAAATTCAAATCTTACTACAATCAAATCAATGAGACTGTCCAAAGCCTGTTGTTCATAAATCTGCCTCTGTCTGATTTGGATTTGGAAATGCTTTATATAGAGATTTTTATTGTCACGTCATTTGTTAGAGTAGGATTTGAACCATAATATAACAGGAACTGTGACATCATAGCAGTTTATCAGGTAAACAAGCTCCAAATAGTAAAGACTACATGCATTAATACAGAACAGAAAAGGCTGTACACGAATGGCTGTACACCCATGGCAGCAAACTTCACCAACATAAATCTACCATAATTAAAGACAGCAATCTGGTGTATCTCTAATAAAAGAATTGCTGGCAAGCATTTTAACCACTATGACTTAAACCACTGGAATTTCAATTATGAAATAATTTTCAGTGACCATGTGAAAATATTCCAATAATCAACATTCCCACAAAAACAGGATAGAAGGGGTACAGTTCAGTTCTGAATAGGACTGTCCTGTTCATCTCACCAGATTGATCAGCCTTCTCATCGCATGTTCATGAGAGCAAACACATTCACAGGGATCGAATCCGCCTTCCGCCATGATTACCCAGCTTGATTTAACTTGACTGTTTAAATCTAGGAGGAAGGAAAAAATATTGTAACACTACTATTCAGACTCACTCTTTCTCTTGAGCTATGAAAAATTCATATATTGTATAGATTTGTAATAGTTCTCTTATACTAAGTATAGTTCATATTTATTAATGACTTCTATGAATTTATTACCAGTTATATGATTATGAATTTATTGTATGAATTATGAATCTATACAAATGACTGGCTACCCCTCCTGCCATCAGACTGATTTTCTATAAATGAGAATGTCTTCAGATGCTCCATACTGGCCCCTCCTGTGAAGCTGATGATGCTAGAGCCCTACTCTGCTTGCTTACTTAATTCTTCAACTTTGTTAGCTCCAGTACCACTATGGACGAATGTTTGTGTCCCCTAAAATTCATACGTGGAAGCCTTAATTCCCAGTGTGATGGTAGTTGGAGGTAGGGCCTTCGGGAGGTAATTAGGTCATGAGAGTGGAACCCTTATGAATGGGATTAGTATCCTTAAAGAATAGACATGAGAGAGATGATCTCTCTCTCCACTATGTGAAGATACAGCAAGAAGGCATCCGTCTACAAACCAGGAAGAGGTCCCTCACCACTGAATCTGCCAGCACCTTGATCATGGACCTCCCAGACTCCAGAACTATAAGAAATAAATGTTTGCTGTTTAAGCCATCCATCTCTGGTATTTTGCTATAGCAGCCCAAGCTGACTAAGACAACTCTGCATTCTTTATTCTACCAAGAAAGCCCTCGGAAAGAAAAAAATGAATTATCTAAAATGATACCAAGGTTTATGGTGGCAGGGGAGGAATTAACATGACAATAGCCAGGAAACAGCTGGGAAGATTTTGAAAAATAAGAGTAACAAGTGAGAAGCCAAGATGAAGTACTATTGATATTTCAGATGGAAGAGACAGATCAAGGGAACAATTCATCAATTAACTTAAAGGAACTTAGTTCATTCATTCATTCAAAAAATATTTAGCATCTGTGCTAGGCATTAGAAATATAAAAGTGAGCAAAAACGGATAGAGTCCTTATCCTAACGGTGTTCACATTCTAATGGTGGAGATAGATATTAATCTAAATATCTTTAAAATTATAAACTTGCAAATGCCATAAAAGATAAATGAACCAAAAGACAACCCACAGAATGAGGGAAAATATTTGCAAATCATATATCTGATACGGGTTTAATATCCAGAATATATACAGAACCCCTCTAACTCAATAAAAAAACAATCAAATTTAAAAATGGGCAAAGGATTTGAATAGACATTTTTCCAAAGACATACAAATGGCCAATAAGCATATGAAAAAATGCTCAATGTCATTAATCATTAGGGAAGTACAAATCAAAACCACAATGAGATACTACTTCACACCTATTAGAATGACTATAATCAAAAAAGTGGAAATAAGTGATGTAAAGAAATTAGAACCCTCCTATATTGCTGGTGGGAACATAAAATGGTGTAGCCTCTCTGGAAAAAGGTTTGATCGTTCCTTGAAAAGTTAGACATAGAATTATCAATGACCCAGCAATTCCATTCTAGGTGTATACCCCAAAGATTTGAAAACAGGGACTCAGATACTTGTATACTAAATGTTCATAACAACACTATTCACAATAGCCAAAAGGTAGAAAACAACCCACATGTCTATCAACTGATGAATGGATAAACAAAATGTGGCATATACGTATAATGGAATATTATTCAGCCATAAAAAGGAATGAAGTTCTGATAGATAGATGAACCCTGAAAACATTATGCTAAGTGAAATAAGGCAGACACAAAAGGACAAATATTGTATGATTCCACTTACATGAAATATGTAGAATAGGAAAATTCATAAAGACAGAAAGTAGAATGGTGGTTGCCAGGGGCTAGGGGAGAGAGATGGGGAGTTATTGATTAACGAGTACAGAGTTTCTGATTGGGCTGATAAAAAAGTTTTGGAAATAGATAATGGTGATAGTTCCACAACATTGTGCATGTAATTAATACCACTGAATTGTAGACTTTAAAAAAATGGTTAAAATGACAAAATTTATGTTATATATATTTTATCACAATGAAAAAAAATCACTCCGGTTGTCCAGGACTGGGGGCTTGAGGAGAAATGGGGAGTGACTGCTAATTGGTACAGCCTTTCTTTAGGGGTGAAGAAAAATGTTCTAAAATTAATTATGGTGATGGTCACACAACTCCATGAATATACTAAAACCCATTGCATTGTACACTTTAAATGGTGCATTGTATGGTGTGCAAACTATATCTCAATACAGCTGTTATTAAAAAAAAAAAAAAGATAAATGGTGCCTAGAGAGCACATACAGGTTCTAAACTTATTTAGGGAGTCAGGTAAGATTTTTCTCAAGAAATTAACTCTGAGTTGAAAGTGGAAGGATGCCCTGGAAAACACTAAGGCAAGGTGGAAGCAGAAGGTGTGGGGATGGGGGCTGATGGACATTCTAGACACAAAGGGAAAAGCAGGGTAAAGACTCTGTAGTGAATAAGAGTATGTCACAATGGAGGAACTGAAAGCAAGCCACAATGTGCTGGAATCCAGACAGCAAGAACAGTGGTCTTCTAGGCTATGTGCAAGATTAGGTCTTCATCCAAAGAGCAATGTGAAGCCCATAAAGTGTTTTATGGTGGTGTGTTTTAAAAAGATCACCTTGACTGCTCTATAGAAAACTGATAGGAGAGAAGCTCGAGTCAATATAGGGAGTCTAGTCAAAATGCCCTTTCAATAGGTCAGTGGTAATGGTGTCTGTTATAGAAATATATAGGTTTGATGACAACATATCAAATCACTGGAGGGAAGACAAATTTTTCCATAAATCGTGCTGGGGGCAGCTGGCTCCCTACCCTTATTCCTTACACCAAAACAAATTCTAGATGCATTAGTGATTTAACTTTTAAAAATGAGACCGCAGAGAAATAGTCAACTAGAGCAATGGATTAGAATAGAATGTCCACAAATTGAACCACGATTTTACTGGAATTTAAAATATAATAAAGATGCCATTTTAAACCATGGACTATGTAATAAATGGTAGACAATTAGTCTATTACTTTTTCAAAAACTGAAGCATGATGCAAACCTAAAGGACTGGAAGAATATAGATTGAACTTAATCAGTGGTTAGCTCTAAGGAAGAGAATTTGGGGATTTTTATTTCGTCAATTTTTAAATATTATTTATAATGAATATGTACTCATTTATTAAGACTTAAAATATAGAAATAATTTAATGGGCCGGCCCTGTGGCTTGGTGGTTAAGTGCGCACGCTGCGATGCTGGTGGCCCGGGTTCGGATCCCGGGTGCGCATCAAGGCACCGCTTCTCCGTTCATCCTGAGGCCGAGTCCCGCATACAGCAACTAGAAGGATGTGCAGCTACAACATACAACTATCCACTGGGGCTTTGGGGGGAAAAAATAAAATAAATAAAATTTAAAAAAAAAAAAAAAAGAAATAATTTAAAAAGTCACAAATGTATAACTACAAGAAGACAACTGGCATACATGTAGAAGAACATAAATCTAAGAAACTATAAAGGAAAAGATTAATAATTTTGACAGCCAAAAATAATAAAAGTTTCTATGAACCAAAAATATATTGTAAAGTAACAAGACAAAGAACAAACCTGGAAAAACATTTGCAACACATATATCAGGGTTAATTTTTTTTAACTTACAGAGAACTCTGAAAAATCAATATGAAAATGGCAACCTACCAAAAAATGAGCAAAGATCACATTCACGGGAAAATACAGAGCCAATAAGCAAATGTAAAATGGAAGAAGTGCAAATCAAAGTATCACTTTCATCTATCAGAAGACTGGTAAAAATTAATTTATCTAGTTAACTTGGCTATCCACATCCAAACAAGCAGGCAAAATTTTTGTATAAGGATATTCACTGCAACATTGTTCATAAGAGCAAAAAAATGGTAATGCAAAGTGTTTATCCGTGTGGTTCGGATGAAATAAATGATAATACGAGTACATGAAATCCTATACAGCTGTTGAAAAGAATGAGGCAGATATCTATGTGATGATTTGGGGAAATATCCAAGATATGTTGAGGTGAAATCAAGTTGCAGAACAGTCAGGGCAAACCCACTTCCCATCTAATGTCGTCCGAGATCTGCTGGCCTGAGCTAAGGGAAGTGGGGATTGGAAGGGCAAGTGGAGCTGCAGGCAACCTGGGCTGGAGAGCCTAACTTTCCAGAAGACAGGAAACAGCAAACACAAACCCCGACGACTTCACAGTTTTGTTTGGCGCCACTCTGTGCCTACACCTTTTTTAAAAAAATTGATTAGCCTTCATGTTAGAGAACCGACTGTATATATCCAACAGAGAAAACTCTAAAAGTAAATATAACCTACCCTTATGTGTAGATCAAGTCCACCCTTGAAAGCCTGTTTCTCTACTGTCTTTTCAAATTGTCCGTAAGGAAAAAGGGGCTCAGACTGTGCTGGGGTGGACATAAGCAAGTGTCCACTTACAAACACTGGTCCTTTCTGCCTCCCTGTCTGTGCCTCCCCAGGCCAATAAAATGTCGGTTGAAATTAAAAGATATTTTACTAAGATTTTTTTAAATGAAATTTAAATACTAAAATGCCCAATACTTATCCAGTTCTATAGCCTGTGAACATGCAAATACTAAGAAAGTACTAGCAAACTTTTATAAAGAAAAGGAGACTTGTTTTTATCACCCATAAAAATTGTAAAACCCAGCTATTTCTAAGTCTCTTTTTAATCCATTTGATTAACAAAATTAGATTCCATCACTATTACTACCCCACCCTCAAAAAAAACACAGCTTCTTGAGGGCAGGAACCTTAGTCATCACTCTATCTCCAAACACCTCCCTCACTGCTTAAGCCACAGCAGTGAACAAATATTTACTGAATTTTTGACAATGGTTATTTTCTATCTATATATGCCAGGAGCATGGAAATCAACTAGAATTTTAAAGTATACGTCAGTCTTAATTAGCC